TAATTGATATTTCAACACATTCTTCAACAAAGGTTATGAAAATGTGAAAATAAGCAAGACAATGAATCAATTTATTGTTTCTCACTTAAGAGACACTGTATATTCAGATGTCCTGAAACACAAACTTCATCCATCTGATTCCAGTGGACAAATTATGTAAAAGAACTTCTTCACCCAGATTTGGTCCTACCTCGATCTGGGTCACCTCCTCCCTGTAGGTCTTTGTCAGGGTTTTGAGCTGGTCATCCATCCTTTCCATCATCAGGTCCAGCTCTTCTGCCTGTCTCCTCAAATCCTTCACATAGCGATCATCTCCAGCCTTCAGCTCCTTTCCAGACAACAAAGAGACCACATGAATGGACAAGGCTTTCAAAAGACAGTGGCAAACACAAAACCTTATTTTACTCCTTTATACATAGTTTTACGGAAAGGTTTAAAATAAACTGATAGTTACTTGTTGAAGGTCATTGCTGAGTTTTTTCTTCTCTCCTAAGAGAAGGGAACACAGCTGCTGCTGGCTGTTGAGCACTTCCTGCAGTTCTTGAGGAATCACCTTCTCCTTAGCCATCAACCACCCTCTGTTGACCTCCTCAAATGTTTCCTGGCTGAACTTTTCATTCTTCTCTAGCAGCTCTAACCTACACCAAGAAGGAAAAACAAGATAGTGGAGAAGAGAAAGCAATAAATATTTTTACATGTTCACATTAGGTGTTAAAAGTTTGTATTCCACATGGTAGAGCTGTAAACTTTTTAAATTTACCTTATTCTGCGAGCTTCTTCCAACTCTGTCCTTCGCTTCGACTCTTTTCCATCCACTGCAGTTTGGATGTTGGTCACAAATATCAGATTTCTCTGCAGGCTAATTATCCTCTGAGAAGCGGTCTGCCAAGATAAGAGGACATTTTCCATTTTCCTAATTAAGTTAGATTTAATCTAAGTTTGATTTTGTGCCAAGAAACTGCACTCAAGTAAACAGTGAGTCATGTTAATGACAACTTTACCGGTAGCTATCTCTGAATAATGCATTACATTTTTGGTTATGCTAATGACTGATTCTATGTTCTATTTTTGTTGTTTTTGTTTAAAGAACAAACAAAACAGCATTATCAGGCAAAATGGCTTAACAGTCAAGGCACAACCTGCATCTTTGCTATCTTTACATCAACAACCACTGTGTGTAACTTAATCTCAGCCTCCTTTTAAATTCAAATAAACTAAACTGAACACCTGAGATAAATACTCTCAGATAAAATGACTGGGAATCATACAGAAATTGTAATAATTAAAATTGTGACCTTTAATTAAACACACTGGTTAATTGAATTGAATAGGACTTTGACACAGAAGGGCTTGGAGACTACACCAACCTTTTCACTCTTCTCTACCTGCTCCACCTGAGGCTGGCTCTCAAAGGATGCCTCCTTGAGCCCCTCAGTGACCTCCACCCTGGGGTCTTCTTCCGCCTTTTGCATGGAGGCTCTAGAGTTTATGTTTAGCAATTCTATTAAAAAAAAAAAACTAAGCAACAAATATATATAAAAACTACAGTATGATTTTTTTAACCCATAACGTCAGTAGATCATCATTACTATTAACCCTACATACACAAAGTACTCTGGGTCCATGGAGCAGGAAACGTATAGCTCGCTGTTAGTTATTTGGTATAAGTTATTTACAGTAAGCTAGCTAGTCCAGTTACCTGTTCTTAGCCTCTTCACTTTGGGACATCAGAGAAGGTTCAGACGCGTCTTCTGGATCCTTATTAACTTCTTCTTTATTCAGAGTATACAGTGGGTACGGAAAGTATTCAGACCCCCTTAAATTTGTCTCTCTTTGTTATATTGCAGCCATATGCTAAAATCATTTAAGTTCATTTTTTTCCTCATTAATGTACACAGCACCCCATATTGACAGAAAAACACACATCACATGGTCATAGGTATTTAGACCCTTTGCTCAGTATTTAGTAGAAGCACCTTTTGAGCTAATACAGCCATGAGTCTTTTTGGGAATGATGCAAACAAGTTTTTCACACCTGCATTTGGGGATCCTCTGCCATTCCTCCTTGCAGATCCTCTCCAGTTCTGTCAGGTTGGATGGTAAACATTGGTGGACAGCCATTTTCAGGTCTCTCCAGAGATGCTCAATTGGGTTTAAGTCAGGGCTCTGGCTGGGCCATTCAAGAACAGTCACGGAGTTGTTGTGAAGCCACTCCTTCGTTATTTTAGCTGTGTGCTTAGGGTCATTGTCTTGTTGGAAGGTGAACCTTCGGCCCAGTCTGAGGTCCTGAGCACTCTGGAGAAGGTTTTCGTCCAGGATATCCCTGTACTTGGCCACATTCATCCTTCCCTCGATTGCAACCAGTCGTCCGGTCCCTGCAGCTGAAAAACACCCCCATAGCAGGATGCTGCCACCACCATGCTTCACTGTTGGGACTGTACTGGACAGGTTGATGAGCAGTGCCTGGTTTTCTTCACACATACCGCTTAGAATTAAGGCCAAAAAGTTCTATCTTGGTCTCATCAGACCAGAGAATCTTATTTCTCACCATCTTGGAGTCCTTCAGGTGTTTTTTTAGCAAACTCCATGCAGGCTTTCATGTGTCTTGCACTGAGGAGAGCCTGCCGTCGGGCCACTCTGCCATAAAGCCCCGACTGGTGGAGGGCTACAGTGATGGTTGACTTTCTACAACTTTCTCCCATCGCCCGACTGCATCTCTGGAGCTCAGCCACAGTCATCTTTGGGTTCTTCTGTACCTCTCTCACCAAGGCTCTTCTCCCCCAATAGCTCAGTTTGGCCGGACGGCCAGCTCTAGGAAGGGTTCTGGTCGTCCCAAACATCTTCCATTTAAGGATTATGGAGGCCACTGTGCTCTTAGGAACCTTAAGTGCAGCAGAAATTTTTTTGTAACCTTGGCCAGATCTGTGCCTTGCCACAATTCTGTCTCTGAGCTCTTCAGGCAGTTCCTTTGACCTCATGATTCTCATTTGCTCTGACATGCACTGTGAGCTGTAGGGTCTTATATAGACAGGTGTGTGGCTTTCCTAATCACGTCCAATCAGTATAATCAAACACAGCTGGACTCAAATGAAGGTGTAGAACCATCTCAGGGATGATCAGAAGAAATGGACAGCACCTAAGTTAAATATATGAGTGTCACAGCAAAGGGTCTGAATACTTATGACCATGTGATATTTCAGTTTTTCTTTTTTAATAAATCTGCAAAAATGTCAAAAATTCTGTGTTTTTCTGTCAATATGGGGTGCTGTGTGTACATTAATGAGGAAAAAAATGAACTTAAATGATTTTAGCATATGGCTGCAATATCACAAAGAGTGAAAAATTTAAGGGGGTCTGAATACTTTCCGTACCCACTGTACTTAGTAAAGGTTACTGACAGAAATTGTTACGTTACGTAATGATGAACACTGAAAAAAATAGCAGCTCTCTATCGCCTATGTCTGTTTGGGAAGTGTTGCTATGGCAACTCGTAAGCTGGAAACTCCAAGAATAAAACCGCAAGTGCAAAAAACGTGTTTTTAAAAAGAAACAGAACATATATATTTTGTTTATTTTTATGTAGTTATTTAGCTGTTATTTGATAATTATGGTCTTTATGACATCTACAATGCACAATGCATATATTTACTTCTATGACTGAAATAACAGCGATAGTGAATACAATTGAGAAAGGGAGCCCTCATGCTCACCCTGCCCCCCCCGGGGCACCTTGCCATTCTCTTACCCTCAAGTGGCCTCTGTTGCTGCTGAGCCATAAGAGATTTAAGTCATGTAGCAAAGGTTTCTGACATATGATCCAGCATCTGTGATGTCACCAACAGCTGACTTGTCATAAGACCTTTGTGAAAGGGGGAAGCAAGGGATGAATGAGTAGAAGGCCTTATTTTCAACAGACCCTTAGCTGAAACATTGAGTGCTTTTGCATTAAGCTCCCGAGATTACAAACTGAATGACTGCCATTAGAGTGATTCTATAATCTATTATAACACCATAAGCTAGGGATTGACAGACTTTGACCCCACTCACAGGTGTATAATAAGCCCCATTCACTCTGCATATGCTCTGTGAGAGAGGGTGCATGTGTGTGTGTCTGCTAATTCCTACCCCCAGGAGCATATGTTTACTCTTGGTTCAACAAAGCATCATATTCATTGCTCAGGGGTTGAGGGGTGCATAATCTATGCCTGACCTTCAACCAGTTAACTAACTGACTGCTTAGGCTGTTGTTGGTGGTTGCATAACATATTTAGTCTTAACAAACACTTTCTTAATATCGCCCTAACAAAAGAGATACTTGCTGCTTCATAACACGGAAAGCACTGTACAGAAGAGAGAAAAGTGGAGGAGGACATCAGAAAATTCAAAGGCATTTAGTCTAGAGGAAGCCATGACCTTGTCAACACTGACAAACACAGATCTAGATATAGAGACAAAGAACCGATGGCACAAAAATCTAAGTAAAACTGTTCATATGTTGCCAGATAATTGTTGTAAATGATCTGAAGGTGAGGCCATTTTCCAGTCTCATCAGACAAGGCCTGAGGAAAGAGT